TTTCTGGATCTGGAGAAGATCCACTCCAATTTTCACTGTGGCTAAGGCGCCTAGAGGATATAATGCGCATGCGATCTACCACATGGACGTCCCAACAAAAGGCATTCTTCTTAACGGGATTCTTGGACGGTGTAGCTAGGGAAAAGGTTGAGGAACTCACGGACGATGAACGTGAGGATTACTCTTCGGTAGTCGCGCATCTGAAAAAGTCTTTTGAGGGTCCTCAGCATCGATATATGGCCCGTCAAGCTTTGTCTTCTTGCCAGCAGCAGACGGGAGAATCAGCATCCACCTTCGCCAATAGGCTTTTGTTACTGGTTCGGGCAGCTACCTCCGGTCAGGACCCGGCTAGTCAGAAGGACAGGGTGCTTGAGGAGTTTGTAGCGAGGCTGCGACCTGACATTCGCTATTATGTGAAGCTTGACAACCCGTCAACATTTGAGCAAGCTGTAGCGAAAGCCCAAATGGTTGAGCAATTGCTAGCTGAGGCCACTGCCGACCGTCTCATTAGGCCCTCGCTACCAACCCAAGCGATAGAGGTAAAGGCGGCGGCACCCCTGCAGCAGAGTTCTAGGCGTCAGAATTATGAAAGGCGCAGAAGCCCATTTAACCGTGGGCAGGTGCAGTTTAGCCAACAACCAAGAGGGCGACTGCCCACTCGTCCTGTGAGGGCGGAAGCAACGACTAATTGTTTTAATTGTGGAGGTGTAGGTCATTTTTCTCGTCAATGCCCGTCCCCTCGAGTTACACGCCGTGCACCAGGTAAGTCTTCTTTCCGCAGTTTGTCGAACGATCGTAATTTTTCTCGTTTTTCACCCCGCGATGGTATTCCCCCTTCCCGTTATGATAGGGATAGAGAGCTTTCGCAGGCTCGCGATCAGATCAGAGCTCTTTCGATTTCCCTGCAAGAAAACCAATCTGCATTGGAAAAATCTGACGCTAGAGTCAATGCCTTAGTAAAGCGCAATGAGGAGTTAGCAAACTCTGCTTTCGGCCAATCGTCTTCTCGTTCGTCTTCTATCCCGGTGCCCCAAGTTAAGCTGCTTTTCGCGGTTTCTATGCTATTATGCTTCGCATCGAGCGAAGCACTCTCGACGTCAGCATGGTTATGCCCGCATGACCCAGCGGATGCACTTGCGCGCATCCCAACGTCTTACAATTGTTCATGGATTATCCCCGCAGTTGAAGAGACCCCGAAAGCTCTATCGGTTCATATTTACCGTCCCAATACACGGCGTTATGACACTGCAGCTCATTTGTGCAAAGTTGTCACTCAGTCCGTCACCTTCTCGGTGAACTTTTTTGGAGCGCGGTACCAAAACACTACAGAAACTCACTCCGTAGTGTCGCTTGAGTCGTGCAAGCTGATGATTCAGCATCATAAATGTGAGTACGGTAGCATGACTCAGTCAAATGACTTTTGGGCAACCTCGAACTCAATTATAATTAAATGGCCCTCAGCTCCCTTCGGGTGTTGTTCAGAACGCAATGTGGCAGTTTCCAACTGCTATCTGATCCCTACCGTAGTTCACATGCGCCACGGAGCCACTTCTCCCGATTCCCCAGTTGGAAATCTAGCACAGTGTACCTATGAGTCAGGTAATTGTGTACTCCAGGATGGATCAATCCTTCTTTGGACCCCCAACAAGCAAGAGTCGTGCCGGTTCACACCGGTCATGAAAATGAAGGGCCGCCAACTGGGCGAAATTTGGATCAGTGATTCTAAGGAGTTTGCTCTATCCTGGCGCGAATCCAGCGATCGCATTCTAGATTGCGGAGCACGGCTTATCCTCTCGGATCAAGGTTATGCTGTGGCACCAGTTATCCGTCGCCCGAGATCAACAGATCTGGACACCGGCATAGTAACTTCTAATCAATTGGCCGCGCAGCTTCTAGCAGTAGAGGGTTCGGTAAGTTCCGCTGTCTCTTCACTTTTTCACCATGCATTGTTATCGCTTTGTGATAGAACAAATCTCTTAGCTTTCGCTCTCCACACTTCTCTAGTTGCTAACCCTACTCTTACTCTCCGTAACTTATTGGGGCGCACTGATATCGCAGCCTCTTCCTTGAGTACTGACTTAGTACAAATTCATAGCTGTATGGCAATCCCTGCGAGTAATTTGAAATTGATTCCGTTTAATGGCACTTGTTTTTCTAAACCTTTAGTTCGAATTACTCCTCCATCTGGTATAGCCATCTTATCATTTCTTGATCCCGCTACTTTAGTCGCTTCCCAGCAAGCGGATCCCGTTGATTGCTCTACAGTTCGATATTTTTACATCAAACGTGAAGATTCCTTTCTTAAATTTGATTCTACAACAGGTAGTTCTCAGCTGATTCCTCACAATCTCGTTCCTACCATCGGTATTCCTTCCATTTTCAATTCTTCCTCACTAGCCCTTCCTCTCACAATATTTCATAACCTAATTCTCACTAACCTGAGCGAGTTAGTTCAAGATCATCAGTGGCAAGAATTGTGGACTACTATGTCTACTGATCATCTTTCGTATATTCGTATATCCAATGAAAAGGAACCGATTTTCAATTCTGTAATGCATAGCACTCGTTCGTTTTCGCTTTGGGCTGCGGTTTTTGGTCCCTGGTCAGCTTTCGACCTTTGGATCACTTTTTGTGGTATTCTCGTTACTCTTCGCTTACTCAAAACGTTTCTTATTCTGTATTGCAATGTATATTACCCTGGGCTGCTCCCACGTCTCCGAGAGCAGCTCCCGCTTTCAATTGCTTCTAATCGTCAAGCAGGGCCTGTAATAACGCAAGCTCGCCCCTCAGTATCCTCTATCTCTTCTCAACCGGTAGAACTCGCATGTCTTAAAATCGATGCTTCTTCGTCTTGGCCACCTCGGGCAATAATGAGTTCCGTAAATGTGTTGTATTTATCTCATCGTGATCGCTTTTTTGTAGCACAAATACCTATTCGTGTCAATCAAGTGCAAGTCTTAGCCTTAGTAGACACCGGCGCATCCATTACTCTCACTTCTGTCGATACTATTCCTCTCTTCGGAGCTTTTAACCTTCTTCAAAGCGATGTTACTAGTGCAGTAGGTATGGCGGGAGTTCCTGTTCAGCTTTTAGGATTTGCGACTCTTTCGTTTGAAATCGGTTCCCTATCTTTTGAACACCCCGTCTATTTTACTAAGTCAGCCTGTATTCCCGATGTGGCCGACGCTTACAATATCATTCTCGGCAACGATCTTCTTAGGCGCTTGCCGCCATGGTCTATTGATTATAATAACTGTACCCTTCGTTTTGCGGATGATCGCTTAAAAATTCTATGCGCGACCCCTGCAGACACGCCCCCAGCCGCCGAGCAACAGATATCTATCCGCGTAGCAGAAACTACCGTACTCCCCCCGTCATCGGAGACACTAGTGCATTGCGTAACAGAACAAGCCAACCAGATCTCGCTCGTATTAGTCTCCCAAAATGAGAAATTAGCAGATAAATCACTAATGATCGCGCCGGCTGTGGTTAATGCTGACCCAGTTCTTTTGGTTTCCAACCCATCATCGAGACCCGAAACTCTCTATAAAGGGCAGCAGTTATCAGCGGCTGTTCCGCTTGATCTCACTGATTCAGTGCTCATTTCCCATGTTCATCCTGATTTACCTCCTTTTGTAGGAGATATTGTGGCAAGGGCCGACCGCCCTGAAACAACGATTAGTACTGATACTTTCAATGTTGATCTGTCTTCCGCAGAAGTATCCGAAGAGGAACGAAATCAATTAGCTCAATTGTTTTATGAATTTCGCGATCGTATCTCAACTGCTTCCTACGATCTCGGTTCCTATGAGGAGTCGGAAATCGTTATTAAAACGACGACTGATACTCCTCAAACCCGATTTCGCCCCCCTCGCATCCCGCTAAAATTTCAAAAGGAACTCGATGATCACATCAATAAGTTGCTGCGTGCTGGGCGAATTGTCGAAAGCGATACCCCCTGGGTTCACAACACGGTGCTAGTCAAGAAAAAGGATGGTTCTTTAAGAGTATGTTTGGACTTCCGTCCCCTGAATAGCGTTACAGTCCCCGATCACTTCCCGTTGCCTCGCATTGAGGATACTCTAGCAAAAATCGCAGAACATAAGTTCTACACCACTCTTGATTTGGCATCCGGCTATATGCAACTCCTCCTCTCTCCGGAAAGTCAGAAAAAGTGCGGTTGGGCAACACACCGCGGTATCTATCAATTTGTTTACCTTCCCTTCGGTCTCAAGAATGCCGGCGCTTATTTTTCTAGGGCTATGACGCGCATTTTAGCGGGTTTAGAAAGTAATTGCCTTGCTTACCTAGATGACATAGTCATCTTTGACAAGGACTTTCCCCATCATTTGCAATCTCTACGTAAGGTCTTTTATCGTTTTCGCCTATTTAACATCAAAGCATCCGGCAAAAAACTCACAGAAATAGCGCGCACCCGCATTACTTTCCTAGGTCACGAGATTTCAGGCTCGTCCTACTCTCCTGCGGACAGAAATATACGAGCCATTCGAGAATTCCCCACTCCAACTACCACAAAAGCTGTGAAAGGGTTCGTGGGAATGGCCAACTTTTTTAGAAAGTTTATCCCAAATTTCGCGTTAATTGCATCACCCCTATACGCCCTTCTAAAAGATAAGGCGAAGTTCGTTTGGGGAGCTGAACAGCAGGAAGCTTTTGAACGACTGAAACTCCAATTGACGTCCAAACCATGTTTGGGATTCCCCCAGGATAAGGAATTTTACCTGCATACCGACGGTAGTCAATTTGCGGTAGGGGCAGCCTTGTTTCAACGTCTTTCGGACACTGATTCTCAGCTGGTGGCTATTGGCTATTTCAGCAAGACACTCTCTGATTCCCAACAAAAATGGAGTCCTACCCACATAGAATTGTTCGCCATCGTTAGTGCTCTGCGTTTCTTCCGTCCAACAATCTACGGCAATCATACTACAGTGTACTCCGATCATCGCCCCTTGACGTTCCTTTTGAAGCATAATAAAACCCACGATAACTTGACGCGTTGGGTCGTAGAGCTTCAGAGTTACGATGTCTCTATAGAGTATCTGAAAGGGTCAACCAATGTCGTCGCCGATGCCCTTTCCCGTAATGCTAATTCACGCGTCAAATTCCAGGATGATACGCCCGAGGCGGAAGATATAGTTGATTTCCCCGTAAGTATCAACAGTGTCCTCCCCAAGGCTTATTCGATACGACCCTCCGTTCATTTTGTCGGTTCTTTACACGCAATTCGGCCGTATGATGCTCTTCAGGAACAAAGGAATGACCAGTTTTGCTCTGCTATTTTATCTTTCATAGAGACGCAGCGGTTCCCCTCTTCTCTCGATGAGCAACAAAAGTCCGCATGGCTAGAAATTGCGGAGAAATGCGTAAAACGGAACAACGGTTGCGTCTATTACGTAGACCGACGGTCAGACACCAACCCCTTCCGCTTCGAACGCCTACTTGTACCAAACAAATTGAAGGAGCCTATTTTCTTGGCATTCCATACGAGCCCTTCTTCGGGTGGTCACTTTAATTGGAAGAAGACACTCGCAAAAATATCACGCAAATATTTTGGCCCCATATGGCCGAAGATGTTTTCACCCTGGTACGCGCTTGTGAAGAATGCCAACGCAAAAGACCTAATGCAGCCAACCGTGAAGCACTTATACCCGTTGTAAGCGGAGCAATCTTTGATAAAGTTTACGTTGATCTAACTGGCCCCCTACACACGTCTGAATCGGGTAATAAATACATTCTCGCAATGATCGACCACTTTTCTAAATATGTTATCGCCACCCCTTTGCCCGATTGCACGGCGATTACGGTAGCGCAAGCCATTGTTTCTGAATGTATATTAAAGTTCGGCGTAATGACTCAGCTTGTCTCGGATAACGCTTCCTATTTTAAAGGCGAGGTAATGTCAGAAATAGGACGTTTCCTCCGCATACACAGGTATTATTGTACTCCCTACCACCACGAGGGTAATGGTGCTTGCGAACGTATCTTTGCTACTTTCCACCCTATGCTCCGTACCTACATCAATGAAAACCAACTCGACTGGGATAAATACGTTTGTGCTTGCGCGTTCATGTATAACACCTCTATTCACGCCAGTATTAACAATACTCCTTCCTTCCTCATGTTTGGACGTGACCCAGTATTTAATATTGATCTCCTTATACGGCATGATTCTGAGCGTCACATTCCAGCGGATGATTCAGGATTTTACGTGCAAAATCTTGTTACTACCCTTCATGCTGCTTGGCGCGCAGCAATTGCTCACAATGAACGGCAAAGAGCTAAATTCAAAGCACAGTACGACCGTTCTCATCTGGCTCCTCTCTCTATTAAGGAAGGCGACCGTGTTTATCTCCGTGACCTAGCCCCTAAAGTAGGACTGTCACAAAAGTTATGCTATCCCTGGTTGGGGCAGTTTCGAGTGATTAAGGTGGAACCCCCACATTTAACTATAATCAGTATCTCAGCGCCGCAATCAACGCCTAAAAAGGTGCACATGAATCAGGTTAAACCATGTTATACCTTGTCAGGTCCTGTATTTACAACTCCTTGGTTGCCTGAGATCGAACAAGTGGCGCTAACCGCAGCTGATGCGTTGGAAAATCCTATACAAGGTTATGAGCATAGGTAGCCGAAGCCCCGCCCACCGCCTCCATCAACCAATCACCGACCCACTCTTATAATACGCGTTACAGGTCTCGACGTACCTCCATTTGACCTGTTGGTCAGACTCAACGATTATTTTTAATACTATGTTACGCATTTCCTTCAGAATTTGTTTCCTTTCAAATGTTTTCTCCCATGTCCGCCGCATGGTATCATTTCTTTGTTTACGTTCGCAGCTTTGTCGATCGCACATCTTGAAATGCCATAGCCGACGCAGCCTCCTTTCCGAGATGCCACGCCCCCTATCGACCATTGATTAACCCACTCATCGCCAGTATTACACGTAATTTATTCCTGCCTTCTTTTATTCTTTTTTAACCTTTGGCTCGCCTAACGTTTTACAAATATAATTGCATAGCCACTTCGTCTTCATGCCTTTTATTTCTTTTCACCTAGTTTTCGCAGCGTCATATAATTACGCGTTTTCGTTCAAATATCCTCCTACCTTCGCGTACATTACATATTATTCTACCTATTATTTACATATATATATATCATATCTACATATCACACATTCATTGCTGTTTCGTTTTCCATATTCGTAATTAACACTCTAGACGTTCTTTTTGTTAAATACCTTCAATATATCACTCTTTCTTCAGGTGATTATTTTGTTCTCTCTGCTCTCTTTCTGTGCGATCGTGACCGATATTTTCGCTCACTATGGAGGAAATACCGCTTCCTCCCGATCCGGATACAGGTACGAATCCGGTCGTTACTTCATCTTCTGTTGTTTCTTCTGTTGATTCTGTTACATCTCAAAGTCGCGTGGCGACTGAAACGACGATTATTTCTTGTGCTACATCTGATGCTCCTCAGTCCTCTCAGGACGTAAGCATCAATGTTTCTGCTGATTCCTCCGCGGAGTCCGCGCAGCTGAAACGCTCACCTGTATCTGTTTCAGAAGATGTCCCGATGCATGACGTAGCTGAATCTCCTGACGATTCTTCGATGATCTCTCGACGCTCTCCTTCTCCATCCGTAGAGTCCTCCAATCTTGACTCCATGCGTAGTATGACGGATTCGATGTCCAAGTTGTCGATGATACAGCCGTCGGCCCAAGAAGCTGCGCCCGCTCTTGAGTCCCCACAGGCCCCTCCAACCACGATGAAGCGAGCCGCTCCAGCCAGTCACCAGTCACCCCCAGGGGATCTCCCCACCCGGGGCACGCGCGGCGCGCACCAAAATTCCCGCGGTTCTCGAGTCTCTTCGCGAGGTCGAGGTCCACATACCATGACGATGGTGTCATCGCCTTCCCCCGCTGCCTCCAGCACCCCGTCATCGTCTTCTTCGCGAGGTGTTTCCTCGCGAGGTGCTTCTTCGCGAGGTGCCTCTTCGCGAGGTACTTCTTCGCGGGGTGCTTCTCTCCGTGGACGAGGAGCCAAGCAAGCCCGCCAGTATCCCCCAGGTCCCCTTCCTCAGGTGGAAACGTCTCAGTTACCTCAAGTCACTCCTCCTGAGTTCTCTCACTACCTGATGGAATTCCATCCCTGGGCAAAGTACGTCAACCCCCGTCCAATTCGTCTACTCCGCCAGGACTGCCCACCAGTTAGTTCCGTCTTGGACGTCGAGGTGTATCGTCATTTGCCGGACTCGGGTTACTTGTCGACACGGTTCAACAGGTCGCTTTTCCCGAAGGCTGTCCTCCGCCCAGACAAGATGCCGGCGTCAATTCCATTTATTGAACTACAACACCTGGAGGACACCATTAACTTCCGGGCCAAATCGAAAATAGTTATCGACCAAGTTTTATCCGGCTCCTATAGTGATGTCGATACGGCCCACATCAAGCCATCCCCCTACCAGAAATACATCACTAAGCCTCCTCCGTACGGCAGTACCTATCCGGTCCTATACCAAGTGGTCTCCACAGGATATGGCCCGGGAGTAATCCTAGAGGCCAAGGACTTCTTCATTGTTGGTCCCGACCGTCGAGACCTACATTGTATCGTCCTGGACCAGTACGCCGTTGACATAGTTACCGACGGCCGCGGCTTTAACAAGAACAACATGTCCGTTAAGGACTTCGTGTGGGTTTATAATGTAAAGCCGACGCGGCAGGCATTACAGTCCCCGGCATCGGTCCTAAAGCAGGCCTCATTACCGCGAACTATGGCCCTCGACACTTCGTCGGTGTTCTTCTTCAGGGTGTCCCACTTCGCGTTGTTGACGGTGACCGACATCCCTGACCACGTCTACGGCATCATCTTGTCGCGGACTATCCGCGCTGACCGAGTCATTCACGCTCGGGCAGTATTTGAAGGATGCCCCGAGGCGGTCACCTTGACCCCTTCCACGTGTACCTTCCCACTTCGCCGCCTCGCTACTTACGAGGTAGTAAGTGCAAGAACGCGGGTCAACGTTTCGGCAGCGATGCGGTTTTGCGAACCTCCCGTGTCCTTTGAATCACGAGCTCAGTTAGCTGAGTTGTGCGTTCCTTCCTGCCTATGCATCCGGATGAGGGCATATCTCCTCTGGCAGTCTTCAAGCTCCCCCAGGTGGACGAGGCATGGCTAGCTGACCGTCTGGCCCGGTTCCATAATTTCCAGCGTGATCCTGTTGGATCGAAACAACGATTAAGTAAGATATGTAACGTCGCCTGTTCAGCATTGGCGGCGGTACACGCAGTAGGCGACGATAAGCAGACTCGCAAGGTCCTCGCCTCCATATGCACGCCTGTCTGGTACCCCCTACGCATACAGTTCACCCTACAGGATATGGCGTCTGAAGCGGGGTGGGCGCCAGGACGTCACGTTATCACGTGGATTCCTGGTACTGAACGCCTCATTTGGGCCAAAGTAGTAACGGTCACCTCTGATCCGACTCGGAAGACCGTAACTGTAGTGATTCAGGCGTTTACCTGGTCACACGAGGCATGGAACCGCGCCTTTGAGCAACATGGTCGCATGCTCGAGGAGAAGCATATCTGCGATATCTGTGTGCGCCTCGGCAAGTCCACCACCGCGGCGAATCCCGTTTATGACCTGGTCTCGCGTTCCAACATTTTTGGCAATCTTCGCCCGAGGGTCATGGGTGACCACGTCGTCAACTTGTTCTACGCCAACCAAGCAATTGGCACGAGCGACGAGCCGTACCTGCGTGATTTACCGCCCCCCTCTGGCCATCCCCGCTCATTCATCGTTAGTGGGCGTTCATTGACCCTTACCACCGATCAGGAGGACGCGGTACGCATCGGCTCTGGGCAACTACCCCTCGTGGCTATTCAGGCCGCCTACGGGACAGGGAAAACCCTAGTAGGATCCCTCATTGCGGCATTAACCTCAGTAAGCTCTAAAGATATCACCATTGTCACCACCTCCACCAACGCGGCAGTGGCACAGTTCACGGAAACCCTCCTCTCCTTAAATGATTTCGCACACCTCAACATCGTGCGCCATATCTCCGACACTGCCGCCGCTGATAATCAGACCCCCACATCGGTGGACCTCGGTAAAATTCTTCGGACCCTCGGCGACGACTACGAGGAACAACTCTCACATGAGGACCTCCACACCTGCCATGAATTCCAGGAGTATAGGGAAATCATTGAGAATTATCTCGATCACCCGGAACTCATCCCCAACATGTCGGACGAAGACAAGGAGGAGTATGAAATCGCGGAGCGTTATGTGTCGCAAACCCTTAAGCGGATGGTCAACATAATGTTTACCGTACGCCGTCCTTCCATCATATGTATGACGACAGCATCCCTCCTAAATTCCACTGCTTCGGGCGGGATATTCACCCCGTATTTGACGGAATTCACCACCGTAATTGGTGATGAAGCTTCGCAAATTCCGGAGCCCACATTACTAGCAATAGCCGGACGGTTAACCCGCGCTCGCCACGTATATATAGGGGATGTCCACCAGTTGGCACCACACGTCAAATGCCCCCCTAACTCTAGCCCTGTTCTCCACGGCGCGCGTAGTGTAATGTCGCTCCTCTTGCAGTCATCACCGGTACCCGTGGCCCCCCTTATCACCACTTTTAGGTCACATCCGGCCCTTATCGCCCTTCCCAATCGCATAGCATATGCCGGGCAGCTCGTTAGTGGTACACCAGCGCAGTCTCGCCAGATCCTTCTGACCACTATGCGTTTCCCTGCGCCTAATATTCCATTTATGTTCGTGGATGTGAAAGGGGAATCAGCCCAGGCGCCTAGTAAGTCCTATTATAATGAGAGTGAGGCCCAATCCTGTCAGCAGCTCCTTGAGCATCTTATCCGCTTGGGGATTCCAGCCCGTTATATCTGTGTCATCACATTTTATAGAGAACAATATCGACAGATCAAGCCCACCTTGGACAGCCTGAACGTGGAACTCACGACGGTCGACTCCGTGCAAGGGAGAGAGAAGGAGGTAGTCATTTTGCTTACAACAAAAACTGATTTCTCTCCAGCGACCGCCGAATTCCTCAACGACTACCGTCGCCTGAACGTAGCCGTCTCTCGCTGTAGACATGGGCAGATCGTCTTTGGCCACGCCGAGTCGTTAAGGAAGGTTCCCACATGGAACACACTCTTACAATGGGCAGATTCGATTGGAGCGGTCGTCCCAGCAAATGACCTACCCCAATACCTACAACGCCCCCTCTAATTTCCGGTGAGAAACTCCCTTTTTTTCTTTTTTCGGTATACATTCTTAAAGTCCGGGTCGGACTTTGGGTAAAGGGGGGAGGTGTGAGCCGCGCCGTGCAAGCGCGGCTATCAGCTGGCAATGTTACAAGATGACTCATGTTGGTATTTCAGGGCGGAGCGGCGACCGAGAGGAACTTCAACAAGGAGTCGACGACAGCTCGCCTCCGAGGACGGCGGCCCCAGGCATTCTATCTCTATGGGGCGAAGCCCTGGACACCACGGACATATTCTCCTTGATCTCATTCTCTGTATGGTTCTATATTATTGTTTTGTTCTATAATTATTTGTTATCATGTAATTTACTAATTCCTATTGTTGCGCAATTGTTTATTATTAATGTCATTAGGATAAATTGTATATGATTTGATGGTTTTATACAGAAGCAGAGAATGAGCCCGCTTCCCTGTGCGCGCGAGCTCACTGGTAGCAGCGAGTGGTTCCCCCCTCGCTGTAAGAGGTAAGTGGATGTCCAGGTGATTTTCAGGTATTACGGCGTGTCTGGAATGGATGCGAAAGGGCCCGTTCGTGTCCAGTTACCAGCCGTGGTTCTTTTCCAGCGTTTTTCGTCCTCAGAGTCGACTCAGGACAAGGAACGTACCGTATCGTTGCAGCTGGCGTTTTCTCTTTTAGGAACTTTCTTTTCTGGTCAAGTTTTTCTAGTCCAGCTGCACTTAGTCCTCGTGAGTTAGGAGTCACATCTGTGTGTAAGCGGGATACGGTCTTCCTTGCCGTAACGAACAAGCTTTATAGACTGTAGAAGTGCACTGCACCCGCGACAGGGGTCTAAAACTGTCAGACGCGCGTCTAGAAAGAAGAGAAGCAGTTCCGGAAGAAGTTTGACTGAGATGTAATTTAAGGAGATCGTCCCAAATGGTGACCAGGATGTGTGAGGGTACCCTAGTAAGTGGAGTGAGCCGTGGAACGCCGCAATTAAGTTGTATTTGGTAGTTAATAATCTGTTGTTAGGTGGTGCGAGGGACGTTAAATAGTGTTTCTGTAGGCGGCGAGAAAAGGTTAATGTGGGCCCACTAGAGGAAGTCGAATGTAGCTGTCTTTCCCGGGATATATTTACTCATCGGTAAACTAAGGAAATCTCAAAAAAAAAACACAAAAAAAACAGAATTATTGTCAAACCATGGTTGTAAGTTGAATAAGTTATATTATTGTCGATAACGTGTTACCTTTTTTCAACGGGTTTCGTTCGCTTGGACCCGCACGGTCCGAATCAAAGATCAATTTCGAGAGCATTTCGCCACGTGGTTAATTTGTAGCCGCTTTACGGAGTGAATTACACTAATAACTCTCGGTCCCTCCTATCCTGATTTGACTGGCCCCCCAAAAGCTCTGTACTAGGAGACGTGTGACCATCGCCTCCTGGCGAACTTGAGCATATTGTCATCGGCGGCACTGACCTTTGTCCGCATATGGTGAGTCCATTGAGAGGAGCGCGTCAACACTTACCCATCTCACGAAAGCGATAATCACCAGAATCAGGTCACGCCGCGTCTGTTTCTTATTCGCCTTTTGGCATAAAATATATATAGCAACGACCGCCCCTCTTTTCTTATTACTTATTAGCGTTACCTGATACTATTCACCCGCTCACCTATTGAGTCTAGGGCTGATTTATTCAAACCTCATTTATATACTTTGTTCTTTTTATATAGTTTTAACCGCGATAATTGCTGTTGCTCGTGCATAACGTATATCCTAACCCTTGTTCAGCGTTTTCATTTATGATCTTGGCTCTCAGCTCGAACGGCAGCATTACCATCCATGAAATTTTCGAAACGCTTTCCCACCGCTTGCCGCTCTTTGTTCCCTGCGGCAGCAGTTCATCGGCGCCATCAAAGATTAAGCGCTAGATAGGGTGACTGTTCCCATTGAATGTTTTGAATTCTTGGCTTGTTCCCAAGCTTCATCATTCCAAACATCGAGATAAGTCAGATTTTGATCAGAAACATGAAAGAATTCAAAACAGCCCTGGGAACTGACTCTCTGGGATACGGTAGCGACCTCTCATTGGCTGGCTCCGCCCATCCCGACACATTGAAAAGAGCTATGCCCTTCAGCATTCATTTTTCATTTGACTTTTCTTTCAAGCTTTGTTTGCTCTCGTGTTCTTTCATATTTGTGTGTGGGATCATGGGACCTCCCGTAACCCGGTCTCAGTCGACCGAATCTAGGGCCGTAGTTGCCCTGACGCCAAGACCAGATTCCGACTTACCAGCTTCCGCTAACCTGGCGGGAGCGTTAGCCGATCTCGACGATCGTGCCACTGTTCGAGGAAGAGACG